ACGTCAATGCGTGTGAAGTAGCAGTGTTCTGCTTGTACGCGTTCGTCCATATATGTGTCCTTCTCCACCGACTACTTCATTTATCCCTTGTTCTCACGGGGACAGGCATAACAGTGCCATTTCACAAGCCCCGATGATGTCACCTCGGTTGGTGATGAAACGTTTGTAAACAAATTGCCAAGCTCGACGAACAGAGCAAATGAAAGACCTCGGTCTCGAATTGCACATACACACACACACACACTGTAATGCCCGTGGTGATTTATCTATCAGTTTGAGTGTGAATACTGTTTATGTCCCACTGGATTGTTGTGTTTTATGGCCTTCGTGTTTTCGCTTTCTTGCAAGTTGTCAGCAATCTCTGTCTACGCAGAACCGCCTAAGCGTTGACAATTCCAATCGACGCAAGAGTCGGCCACATTCGTCCGTTCACAAATTCAAATATTCAACTATGGGTAGATTACAAAGCTGATTCTTATTGAATCCCATAGGATCTGTACACGCACTGGGTTCGGTTGGTAATACAAGTAGAGAGTAAATTAGAAAGTTCACTCACGAGTGCTGAACAGTTCGGTGTTTCAATGCTTCACCGAACCGTGACTTGAATGAATCGATGATTAGAGTAAAAACACTTGAGGTGGAACAGGGTTCCAGGTATTAAAAACTATTGGAATGAACGAGTAATTTATGCAGTTTAGCTGATGTTTTTGGAACAAAAGTTTAAGAGAAGGTTCGCTGAGGTAACCATTACTGGATAGTGTTATCACAGTACTGCACGACTGGTTAGGTTGATCACATAAAAAGATCCAGTTTTCCCTCTTTGGCGGTATTCATAGGATTAGAGTCCGAGAATTTGAGGCCTTTCACCCTAGGTTTTAAATTCCAATCCCATGACCATTTTTGTCGCTGTTCTCTGTGGACTTTTGCATAAATGGTCAAAGGATTATAGGTAACGTTCCGCAGCAGAATCGATCTCAAGCATAGTGTAAATACAAAGTTGATATAAATGTGATGTCCGAAACGATGTATATTCCAGTCGAATTTATTTCTCATCAACCTACCTGATTGTCTTTGAGCACCTCCGTCCAGTCTTTTTGCGATATCAGTTTCACAGCCTCGACAAAGACGCGTTTTACTTTGTCCACACTTTTTCGAAACTCTTCGAGCACGTTATTGACGGACACCTGGAAGGATGAGCGCAGAGTGCGCGGGGGAAGAAAGAAGAGCTGCAGTTATTTGCACTTACTCACACCAATGAACGACAGACAGTGGGAGATGTGAAACCAATTGGGAGTAGGTAGGAAGACCTATGATTACATGATCCGGAAACTTCAGCCTTTCATCGATGAACCACGCAACATTCTACGAGGATAGTGTTGGCACTGAGGTAAAGCACAACGAGACTGCTTACTACTTAAATTACTGTACAATAATTTGGAGTTCGATCCCAGGATAATAGAACTATGAAGCATGCAGTTGATGGCAACGCACAAGTTACGGGACAGAAGAAACGTCAGTGAGCTGGGAAGCTGCAAAACGCCAGGGGTGTGAGGCGAGGGCGATTTGTAGTCAAGATCTCTTCACCAACGCTTGTGAACTTGCGTTTGTATCTTGATGATGAAGTGAAAAATCCATAACGTTGTTGTGAACAATGCATCCGTAAAATTTTATCCGAACGAGAAACAATCCAATCCCGGATCCACTTCCGATCATCTGATGATTAACAACTATATTCGATTGCCATCCGGCATGATAAACACGAACACCCACAGGACCCTAGTCCCAACAGTTTGTTGCTTTCTATGACTGGGTTTATCCACCGAAGTTTGATTTTTTTGTCAAAGAATTTGTGAGCATGTTGTGGCATGTAAGGCACGGTTCGGTGAACCCAACAGCGAAGTCCGATTTAAAAGCGCTCATAGGGAGTCTTGGGGGTCTGCACTGTTTGATTGGAACTGACAGGTAGATAACTTTCCCCGAGAAGGACTATAACAGCTCTGTTTGAATGGATTACGAAATTTAGGAAAAGCGCACAGTGGCAATCCCGGTCGTTTTCCCCCAATAAGGAGTATATATAAGGACTATATTTGTCACAACAATCTTGTTTGCAACACCGGGTGACCATTGGACAGACAGATCTTTCAGACCCACTCGATTGATGAATCAATGCTATGACTGGATGTTTTGTAGGTGGATTAGATGATATTAACCACAACCAACGTGACTTGATGGTTTCTACAGAATATTTCATAATAAGTAGTATGTGAATATATATATATATATATCCGTGAAGAGCAAGTGAGAGATGTTTGACGAAGCTCCCCTGTAGTGTTTCTCGGTCTGTTGAAGCAAAACTTTAAAACTATCCATCGTGGATTAATGGTAATAAGTCGTGCATCTTTAATTTCTGCCACATCATTTATCACAAAACTTATTAATCGTCATATGAAGTCTTGTATGAGCTTTGCCAATAAGATTCTAAACGACCCCAACAATCGTTTGCGTTTTGCCGTATCTTCCTGTCGCTCCCATTCGATCACTCATTCCTCTTATCGGTACTTACCTTCGTGAATAACAATTTATAAAAACTCCACTGTCCCGTATCTGGCTCGCATCTTGACCAACAAGGAACGAGTTATAAATGAATTACGTCAATCTTTGATCGAATGAATCAAACTCTAGAAACATTTTTTACAGAGCACTCTATTCAATTTGTTTATACTTCTACAGTTTCTCCGGTGTGACGACCAGCGTACAATTTTTAACTGAAATATAAGCATATCTCAGGTTGCAAAAGTCATACAAATACAAAATACGAAATACAGTTTTATGGACTGGTGCTCTGTTACCCCTCAATGCGCATGTCTTAATTTCATTGGTATCCTAGTGTAACCGGTTTTGAGTAGTTAAGTTGTAGGCAATGGAACTGCCTCACGAAATTGGTGTCCTTATTCAAGCCTCAAAATGGGTCATTTCTTCGCACATTGCGATTGGATGTGGTTTGTCATGACAGAATGAAATTTGTTACAACCAAAACAAACGAAATGTGAATTGAAAACCTCAGAGGCACCACATAATTGTTCCAATACGATTATGGCATCCTTAGCAGTGCGAAACCATTGACTCCTTCGTGGATCTCGAGTCCCGGGGTCGGAAGCAGGTGGAGCAAAGAAATATTAGCCATTAAACTACCATCTGAAGGTAGATAACTAGACCATATCATCTAGTCTATACATAAGGTGAAAGAAATAAATCTTTATAGCCTGTGATGAGTTACTATTTTCGTTCCACATCTGGAGCAAGCAAATGGGCCGGGGAGTTGGCTAAAAGCCTTGATTCTAAACCAACCAAGAGGCGTAAAAACCAAGCACACACATTCCTGGTTGTGGCAGTGGTCGCCGGCTCGATTGAGCGCCAAAGTGTATTGTACCCTTTTGGACGTTTGACCTCATTCAAAGGGCCTACAAAACTGACACCAGCCTTCAATTGTGTTTTTTACAAACACCACCTCACTGTCTTGCGGATCAGCTATTGGTTACGCACAAACCCGGTTTTCAATCCCTGAAAGAAGAAAACATTACCCGGATTTGGCTCGGGGATGCTAACAGTATCCCGTACATTTGCAAGCAATGAACCTTCTTCTGTTATAAGGATTATTGTACTGTGATTTGTTTAGGGCGTAATGTTTTCTGAGGACTGGTCTCAGTGAGAATAAGTATGAACCTGAGCCAATACACATGGAGTGAAGGATTTCGTCTGTAATTGAGAGAAGTGATATAACAGGGAGCAGACATGAAAGAAAAACAACAGAAGGCGAACGAAGTACGCATACCTGCTCGACATCTGTTTTCCATGAATCGTAGTCTGTGACGATTGACATGTTTGCATAGCTCAGACCAGCTTCGCGTGCCAAAACCACTTCTGGGACGAGAGTCATATTGACCACATCGATACCCCAGCTCTGGTGAATTTTCGATTCGCATCGACTAGAGAAACGCGGCCCGTTGATTGTGAGTCCCGAGCCACGGGTGTGCACGCACGGATGAGCGGATTCTGGGGGTACACTTTGGTCCCGATCCCAAACCGTCAGGGATGCGACACGGCAAGCTTCGATGAGGACCTAGGACGAGGAGAAAATGGGAACTCCAGATATCAAAGTTATGAAATGTGGAAAATGAAAAAAAGACTGGGGTGCAGGGATTAAGACGGGTTGTGCTATATCGTGTAAGCGGAAAATAAAAAGCGGTTTCATCAGCGGCCCGATGGCCAAGTGAGTAGTGTTTGTGTTCTATATGTGACGTCCGGGGTTCGAGCCCCGGTTACTTCGATGGATTCGATCTGCCGGTGAGACCCAGCCTGGTTGAACTAGCTGTTCAGTGCTTCCCAGCTTTTCAGATCACGCCTCATTTACACGAAGAATTCATGCTATGTGTGAATATTGTTGGGCAGAATTGTCTAATTCTTATCGATAGAGGTCCAGTCTCTCTGAGGATGAGTTAGGCTTATTGCTCTCTTTCTCTGTCGAAGCATCTGATGGGGAAGTTGCACTCATTGACTTCCTGCGGGGACGATTTTCTCTCATCTGGAAGGAAAATAATGTCATCATCCGCAGTTATAACTGCATTGATGGTTTATGGGCAATCAACTCCACAGTGGAAGCTGAGGAACTCGACTCCGAGGTTTGTAAGAAGAGGCGCCTGAACTAATTTTGAGATATCTGGTGTCAATGATCATCATTTTAGTTGGACGATAGGATGTATTGGAAAACCAGAAAGTGTGAACTCTGCTTGAAGAGCGCACAGTCCGACAGATCGGACATCCACCCTGATCTACCACAGGTCAGACTTTGGTTAGCCGGAGGCTTCGGTTGTAAATCCTAAAGAAAATTCACGTTGTTTATGGTCTGGGCTAACTGGGAGTGTTCCAACCGTGAGCAAATCGTGAATCGATAGTTTTATCATATGGATTTTTGTGCTGTTTTGCACGAAGCCTAGACTTAGACACGTATGAAATATATCAAATTATATGCTATTAATCTGTTTAGGTGGTCTAGAGTTTTCAACTCGTTAATCGATTGTCATGGAACTCGCAGACAGGACAAAATAATTTAGTTGCAGCTTGGATAGTTTTGAACGCTTAAAATGGTTGTTTAGACTATCAGAATTTTCCATCGGAAGTTGATCTGTTACTTCATCAAACCCCACGGGATGGGATTGCTCGTTTCATTCGATAGTCTTCCTTGGGTAATAAATTCGAATTACGATAAAAATGAAAAAAAACATTGTCAAATGACTTTAATTTGCGATCAAAATCCCTAAATGAACCACTGAGTAGTGAGGCGGAAAAGTAAAACCAGGGGAAATTCCAGAATGCATCAAAGTGCAAAAAATAGTTTCCAGAAATGACGTACTTGATTTACCACAGTTAAACTAGCATATCCGTGGTGGAAAATCCTTATTTGAGGCAGATTAACTAAACTGATATGCTACTACTGAACAGGGTTTCTTAACCGGGTGTCGGAAACCTTAGAAGTCAGGTATAAGTCACGGTAGCTCATGTTGAAGAAGGAAGTGTTTCATCAAGAACCTTAACCGGAGCCTTTGACTTTAAGGTCTCCTATCACGCAAGATATTCAGGTTTCCGTTTCATTTCTTGATGTGTTGCTTGTTGGTCTGTGGTTTGAGACCGATCCCGATGGAACCTGGACGGGACAGTATCTTATTGGTTGGTCGTTGCCAGCTTAGACAGACAAAAGCCATTCACTGAAGTACCAGGACTTCGCTTACTGCCGTGAAGAAGCTTCACGTACATTGCTCCTAAGTCCGTCTAGTGGGGTTTTCCCAAAGAATTACCTCTGGTGCTTATTTGCCCAATTCACTACTTCCGGACCAATTTCGGATGTTCAAAGGAAAACCCAACTAGTGCGCAGCCCACTGACCTTGTGAGACTGTGCCCAGGCGGCCTGGAAATAGTACGCATGCTTGTATTCCAATCAGATACGTGTTGTAGTGACAATATTTTCATTTCGCAACACCATTCCCTCGACACATGTAAAGACCCTATTTTGTTTTATTGCCCTCCTTTTCGAGAACTCATATGACCTCGAACCGGACAAAATTTCCGGTGAGTTGCTCTCTGTACACTTTCCACTGCAGGTCGCATTACACTACATACGCTCGTATCCGACTTCCTTCTGAATTCGCGCTTGCCCTGGGAAACGTTTGATAAGCCCGATTGCTTGAACTCGTAGACGGGTGTTTACTTCGGCCCTAATTGGTGTGCTAAAGTGTTTTACAAGTTTCATCTACCTCCCTCTAAATAGTCGACCTAAATAGTAACCGAGAGCCAGCAATCAAAACCGCCATACGGCAGTTCACAGGTAACGGTTCTGATAAATTGGACTAGAACTATGCAAAATGATGAAACTTATAGAACAAGTTGCACTAACTGAATCAAAAACAGGGCCTTACAAAAGGTACCGAAGGTTGCTGTTGTTTCTAAATATTACATCTATTCCCATTCCGAGTTCTGACCATCAGTGTATTCCAAGTGAGTAGGAATTCGGCATAGAATACAACGATATCTCATTTCCTGTGGCCCGGTGCACGGGCACAATGACCGATTTCGAAGGGGAGTGGGGTAGATCGAACGGTGACTATACGCGCTTCAGTGTGTGGATGAGTCCGCACAAGAGGAAGACAGCAAAGCTCGAACCCAATGCTAAACGACCGGTTAAACTGAGGATAGTGCGTAAAGATACAGGTAACTGCGTTAAAAAGTTAGACGGTTGTCTATCCCGGGGGATGGTGTGGGGGGGGGGCGGGGGTTACTCAAAACAATCATGCAGTCAGATTACTCCTAGGTACACGACAGATATGTAGAAGAATCTACCGTTAATTAGATTAATTAACCCAAACATGATGGTTGGGAATGGTTCTTAAATTGACGGGATGGGCGACAGGGTAGATCTCCTATAGCACTTACTTTTCGTGTCTCTTCACAGAACGGTTGACCCATTGGGACGTGCATCACACCTTCCAGGCACGGTTTTCGTCCCGCATAGAAGCTCTGATCACGCCCGAATGTACGATCGTAGAATTGATCCAGTATGAGGAAATCGCCCGGTCGAGTGTACTTTTGTAATCCGCCACACGCACTGGAAGCGATAACGTGTGTGCACCCCAATTTTTTCAGAGCCCAAATGTTTGCCCGATAGTTCACGTTGCATGGCGTAATTGAGTGATTTCTCCCGTGTCTGCACGATCCAGATTACACAGGATAGAGGAAATATGGTGAATGGCAATGAAAGAAACGTAGAAACTGATCTAAACTGTCGAAAAAAAGAAAGGCATTTTGTTCATGACGTATTTGTGACGCTGATAGAAAGTAGTTTGGTCTGTTTACTATTTTTCTTACCTGTATTTGTTTTCGTTCACCCATGGTTATTTTTGGCGCCGTATCTGTAAAGATTGGTGTTGACTGTATATATATATATATATATATATATATATATATATATATATATATATATATATATATATACTCTGGATCACCGCAAATAAAAAATGTATTTGTCAAAATCTTGGAGTTATTCGTATTGCATGTATCGCAAGAAACACCAAAACGTATTGCCACTGATGAGCGTTCAGCTCCACAGATCGTTACATCCACACCCAGTACTTTCCTGCGGGTGAGATGGAACAGTCTGTGGAAGCTTCTGATGAAGTCAACACCGTCCATTGGACGCCTTCGTTAGGTTTTATCCGGTCTCTTTTGCACAACGTATCACAGGAATAGTTTGTTTCTTTGTTTCAACCACTTGCTTGCTGTCCCATCGTTATCATCGTGTAGCGTAATACACTGAGGCGAATTTCATTGATTGCTACCAAAATCATAATGCACACAAGGTAAGTGAGATGTAATGGAGATAGGGATTGCGTCTATTTTTAGGGAATGAAGAAGACATTTGCAGCTTCATAGGCACTTCCAGAGATGCTTTCAATAATAAAAGATGGAATCAGCTATTCAAATGCATCATTTATATGTATGTGTCTATATATATTGCATAGAGTTATGCTTTTAGCAAAGCATGCATGATAACTAAGGGGTAAAGTCAAGGAGGCTACCTAAAGGGATCGGTATCGAGGCACAGACGCCCAGTGTCCAAAAACAAATCATCAGTCATATGNGTACGTCAAATTTGAATGACGTGGTTAAAACCTGTTGCCGAAAATTCTACGAAACCTGCACAGTGATAACGGGCCTCTGTTAAGACAGTGACCTACATTTATAGACTGATCTATGTGAAAGTGACCTATGTTAATAGTGAACGGGTGCTATGATTTTATCTTTTTTAATTTCTTCAATTGAACATATGATGATACAATTTCAAAGAACAAGGTAGTGGCTACCATAAAACCCACAGAGCATGAGGAAAGGCACGTGGTGGTTGTGGGATTCAGACACACGTCCTCCATGGCGATAATTCGATGACCTTGTCCACTTGACTACCACCGACGGCGTGATACTTGCCGTCAGAGCCTGCCCGGTTGACATTAAACTATGTCAATGATAGCAATTTATAGCAAAGTACCATGGTTAATGCTTGGAATGAAGTAACTGTACTCTCGACAGAAATCAGCCCACACTAATGCTGTACTTCCAAAGGAAAGTTACTTATGTAAATAATAGCATAGGATATGGGTAAATAACAATAAACTGAACGAAAAATTTAATTTGCAACAATCTTTTCGTATTCTTGTGATTTTTTCTTCATCGGTAATTGCCAGTTCGATAGTTTATTTGCCTCTTCTGCTGTTGCAATAGCAAACTCTTTATTTCACTCTCGGATGCCGTGAAAATCGAGCAATCACTTCTTGGTTCACCCTAAATACTTACAAATGTTAGTGGCATCTTACAGCACTAATCAACCTAATCAATTTACGCGTTTTAGGGAGCACTACTGAATGATTGCGTACTCCTTGGTCGTATTGTTATCTTACGCAAGTGTAGAAAAAATTATTGGTGATAATTCTGCGGGTGGGTTAGAATTGGTGGTTATGAAATCAATTGGCATATATTTTTAAATTTTGGTAGGTGTTTTCTCGCTCAACTGCTTACTAAAAAGCTTTGGATCACAATTACGTTTCAAATAGCATTGTTTACATAGTTTCACAATGGTAAATACGAACTGTCAGCATTGCGTGATGATGGGTGTTTGGAAGATATTCAATTACAAAGGATTCCAGTAAATCAACACCACCATCACGGCCCACGTTGTGACTAACCTGGCCAGAACGACACAAGGAATTCCTTCAATGGTCCCTTCAATCAGCACATCCGATGGACTGCCGAACAATGTTTCAACTTTCCGTTCAACTGGATTTTGTAAAATTTTCGGATCATTGATTCCGGTACCGCCAATAATGCCAATCTAGTGATGCATGAGTGGTGGTGGTGGTGGTCGATCACAGTGTACATTGTGAAAAGCGGAAACAAGAAAGAGAATGATTCAAAATATTCGGCAAATTGTGCAAACTAGGTAAACATGGGCTAACACGTAAACATTTTATGTTTCTCCTATGTGATGAACATAAACTACGACTTTTGCTGTCCCTCTTCAACCATTTTCATCATCATTTGAAGTGGTTCTTAAGCCCTGTAGCATCATCTCGTTGGTCAAATTAGTCACAAACATCTAAAAGCAGAGTTTAGATGTGATTTAGGCCCTAAAATCTGCGTGATGTACACTGGCGTCACCGAGTCTCAGAGAACGCAACATGAGTTTTCAAATCGTAAATGCATGCTTGACGCACTTTTGTTTTTGAAGAACTAGTAAGCATTGAAACGAACCTTGAAGAACATGAATCTAATGAAACAGACAAACGTTTCATTCAAAAAAACGTTAGAAATTTGCGAGGCATTTTACCATGTGTTTTAGGAAACCAAACAATACAAATTGCTCACGCAATTGTGGGAAATAGGACTGCCACGCTGATAACATTAGGGTGGTGGTGGCGGAGTGATGTGGTGACTGTCACCGGCGTGCTTTGGGCTCTACGGTCAGAGATTTGAAGCCCGCCATCGCCACCCAACTTTGGTGGTAGGTAAATTTGCTGTCATCCAGTTAAGCACAACGCCTAACCTAGCATGGTCCAATTTGGTTCACCACTCCAAGTCCTGGGGCTTAGTTTACAGGTCTTCTTCACTCAACAGTAGGTCTTTATGACTCTGGGGTCCACTCCGTCTGCTGTCCATCACACAAGTGTGCGTAATAAAAACATGGAGATTACCCCGTTTACTGTAATTCACATTGTGTAATAAAGAAATCATAGCACAGGTTCCACTAATTTACTTTGATAGGAGCCATGTGAATTGATGATTTTGTGCGCACACGCGTACAGAGCTGAAACGAGCAAAAGGTATTCATAACGTATGATGAATAACGAAATGACTTAGAAGAGATAAAAAAATTCCGTATTAACTAATTACTGGTACTCAGTAATACATCAATTAGTGAGCTGTTTGTGCAGTACGAATGAAATTTTGCGGTTGGCATTTACCAACATGATACATCTATGGTACCATCGAAAAATCAGGCTATCTGTGAAACATTGAGTATACGCTACAGCATTTACACTATTGCTGCTGTTACGGAGCGCAGAGTCTTAAATATCATGAAAACAAGATAAATATAGACTTTTGACGTTCGAATATTTTGTCTACATCGCATTACACGATTCTAGCGAGCAAAGCCGTTAAAAACGCCGCGGTCGCCTACTGAAGAAATTGCCTGATTCCCAAAGATAATGTTGGTTGGGACATGAGTTACGCATGGCAAAAAATAGACTGACACAACTTGCGCTGTTGGTCGAGGAAGCTAGTAAAAGAAAAAGTCAAGGAAGATCAGGTTAAGACCTAGTATGAAGGTATGAGAACCCTAGACAGGAGACTCAATTATATGATTTGTATTTCAAATAATAGTTATTTTTAATCGAATTGAGTGAGATTCTTATTCTTATTCCCTTTCTATTTCAGACGGCAATAAGGAGAACGAAGACCCTGAAGATGATGAATCCTCAGCTGTATTATCTTGAACAATTTTAATTCTTATTATAGATGAACTTCGTATTATTTTAATTATGGTGTGTTACATATATAAGACGTTTGGGCGCTTTACAGATTTCTTCGAGTAATTAGTGTAAAACATAGGTGGAAGGGCTTTAAATTGATATTAAGCGACGATATAGGACTTTAGGAACGGTGCGACTTGAAAAATCAAGTTTTATGCGTGTAAAATGGTACATAGTGGTTTATAGGTAGTTAGAAGGGAACGAGGATTAAATTTCGAAAACAATGAGCCTAAGGGTAGGTCTCGGGTTTCTATTTGTAATGGGTACTATGGTACGCTATCAAAGAAGTATTTGAGCGTCCCCCGAGCATACCACAATTTTTGCATTGGGTCTCTAACGAAAGACGGCTGCAGCTCGCACACTCAGGAAATCGTGCAGAGATCACTGGAGGAACACTCAGGACTCAATCAGCGGGATGATCGCGCCGGTTGTGACAATATATACAATATAATATAGTATATATCAGGTATATTAACAGGTATACTTGGTGATAACCGGGTATAAGCATATATCTCGCTTATACCTCAACCGTGAGATATCTCACGGCCGAGTAATAATTATTACTTAGTCGTGGGATTAGCCGAATATCAATATATATATATATATATATATATATATAATTATTGTATATATGTATATTATTACCTAATTATATATAGTTCTTTATAAATACTAGAATAATATTATTCATACACAACTAATTTGGCGTTTCTAATGAGAGAAAATTGATCAACATAAAATAAAGTTCAAAAGCTTACCTTCGTCGAAACGAGAAGGACAACTTACTTGTTGTCTAGATGATTTATCTATTCTTTTCGGTCTTTAAGTAGCCGCCGCTGTCGCCCTTGAAAAGTTCATGTACACGACTCAGTCAGTCAGACAGTTTGCACAGGACAGGAGATGGCCACGGCCAATCAAGCGTCCAGATTTCCTCCGGTAG